AGGGACATCCCTCCCCCTCCTTGCCCCGGCATGGCAGCCCCCAGCAGGGGGTTTGGGATTCTCTTGGATCCTGGGATAACGAGGACATGGCCCGAGGCGGGTTCACTTGGAGCAGGGGCAGGAATTTGTGGGGTCATCGCTTTGAACGGCCCTTCCAACCCTGGTGGGGTACGTGATGGGGCCGGAGCAGCAGGTCGAATGGCACTTTCTAGTGGCTTCTTTGGGATCCCGAACTGCTGCATGAGGGTGGTCGGATCGACCTCGAAAGCAGTGGCTACCGTTTGCACTGTTTCAGCGCTCAAATCTCCTGGTGAGTGCGCTAACAATGTGTCTCGTGCTGCATTGAGACGCGCTCCGGTATCCACTTCATCATCAACTGGGAAAGGGGGGATGTCAGGTAAATCTTCTCCCGTACCATCTTCTACAGCTGTCGGTCTCGGAGGTGTCATGAATTCCTTCTTCTTGTGTTGATGTGTGACAACATAAGCTTCAGCATGAGGGAGAACCTCCTGTTGAAGATGACTGCAAATCCAGGTCTTGCCTGATTGGAACGAGGGAGACTCGCCATCAGTCACCTGGCCGTCCCATGCTTGGAGCAAGAGAGCTTGCTCTTCAGTGACCTGACTACACAGGAATGAAATCCCTTTCCCGACGGACGCTTCATGGGAGGCTTGAAGGAAGTCATCAATCCATTCCCTACAAATCCGTCCGTGTCCATCATCCCTGGGGGGGGGGCGCAACTGCGAGAGGTGGACCACCCCTTGAACTTTGAGGGCAGGGATGTCAATTTCAACCTTCTCCTGAGCTCGGCTAGATGTAGCGACTCCAGTAACCCGCCCCAAAAACGCGACCCATCTTGGCAGACTTTCCCCGTTCTGGAGGGACTTGAATCTGATTAGTGAGATACATGGGCCTTGAAGAAGCCTGCCTTCCGCTTGATGCTGGAACTGAGATTGGGGCCCTGCTGAGGAAGCGCGTGCCTTGGGCTGGCTAGTGGCAGCTCTACGCTTGGGGCGGCTACTGCGGGCTTGAGGAGAGACCCCCCGTTGATCCTCAAAGTGACCTTCAACTCCTGAGGATGGTTCTTCTGCTTCTGGATTGCTCCCGTCGCTCTCCCAGGTAACCTTGCGTTTGCTGCGCACCGAGCTACCAACATCCATCAGGTGATGCTTGCATAGGGGGACCCCTTGTTTGGCTCCATCGTGTGATTCATAACATGAGAGTACGCTGCACTTGCGTCCGGAACATGCTGCCACATACAACTGTCGATGGTGATCACACAAGCGGACCGCTTGCCTGCCCTTGACATCGGAAAGACCCTTGTCACATTCAAGGAGTCGGACCGACTCCCCAGCCGCTTGATCCCGACATGGTTCATTGGCTAAGGCTCGCGGCTTGCCACCATGGGTCAATCCAACTAGGACGGCCTCGCAAGGATCTTCCAGGACCTCAGCTTCAGATTCCGACTCAGGGTCAAGGGTACGGAGACCTCCATGATCCTGGATGGTACGGGTTGGTTGAGGGGTATCCATCAGATATCGAAGGAGCGTCCACCCAGAGAGTACCCCGACCATCTTCCAGACGGATCGTCCGACACTTCTGAAGCATCTGGTAAAGAGCACCATCAGTCGCCTGGTGGACCACCCGGCGTACGCTCCCAAATCTACCACGCTGTTGGCATCCACCACTGCGTAGGTTTTGCAGTGTATACCCGGTGTAGGGTGGTTCTCAAGACTACACTGCATTTCCCGGCAAAGGTGGACTTTACTCTCTCCTTCCAAAACCTGCCTCAGATTTCGATGGGAAACACCTCGAACTTCTCTCAGCCGAACCCAAAGCCCATTCCGATCAACGCGTGCCCAGTGGTCGCAATCGGGTTTGACCCTCGCTGCCTGACCATTGAGCAGAAGCACCACATCGTTGGGCTTTCTCTCAGTCCCTCGACCCTTGACTCCTTTTTGTAGGAAGTCATTATCAACACTTTCCCTGGAGCCGGGGCCTCGGATGGCTAAGGATTCGTAAGTGTGGGTTGCCTGCAACTCAGGCAGAAGATCACTTACCTCCCGTGCAACAGCTTGAGTATGACGGGTGCAGCAATCAAAGAGTAGCCGGATCGGCCGGAAGACCCAAGTCAACGCATAGATTACCCCAATGGTCAAAACTGTAATCAGCGCTAGTAGGGTTCCCCAGGCAATCCATGGCCAAAATTCTCCGCAGGTAGCGAGTCCAAATCGATCAAGAAAGTAAAGTCCCCAGCCCGCGGAGGAGCTAAGACTTCCCTTCTGTTGTGGGGTGCTAAACCATGCCGGTCCCATCCAGGACCTGATGTCAAAATGGAAAACTGAGTGACCCCACACATGAGCGAAAATGTTCGCATCTCCCGCGTGAGGAGCGGAACGCTCACCTTCCTCAGGGGCCATCCTGGGAGGGGCGGTCTCGCCCACGGTCGCGTCTGGGAAAACCTCCTCCACCTCATCCGAGGAGTTGGAAGAAAACCACCAGACCCAATCAGCCGGGGGGCCTTGAACAAGCTCCAGGGTCAATGAGAGGCCCAGCACCGATAGCCATGGCCCACCCAACATTGTGACACCTGTCCTATTCAAAGCAGTCCCTAGGCTGCAATCACTTGAGCCAGTGAAAGCAGCAACCCAAGCTAACCCTACGTTCTGGCGAACACACGAATGATTTCCTAAGAATTGCTCGACTCCATGGGTTCATACAGTTTGCACTAGGCAGGGCTGCCAGAGTTTCCTGGCCTAAGAGGGGCGGGTAATGCATCCGGCGCAAAACTGGTCGTCCGTCACGGGAAGGCTGGGAGTCTCTGTTGCCGCGGCTTTCACCACTCAACCTAAGGCAAGGCTCAATTTCGTGTCACCCTGTGATGGGATCTGTTCCAACAGACCTGTCTTTCATGTTTTGCTTGTACGACGTGAACGATGACTGACTCAACTCCCCACCTCAAGCCTTTCTTGATCAACTGCTTGTTGATACTCTTCAAGCAGACCTGCTTGTTGTCATTGTTCCAATGCCTTTTGATTACAGCATCTGTCTGCTTGATCTGGTCGGGAGTTCTCCGCTTCACCTTTTGGGGCAGGCGCACGGCGCCAGACGAGACGGGTGCATCCTCAGATCGTGTAAGCAAGCTGTTTTTTCCGTACTCCAGGGCCCATCAGACATGCATCCGTTCCACAAAATATATGTATACTATGATTTGGGGCACCGGGATTTAGAAAGACCGTCAGCATTTGCCTTGAGAAAACGGATTCCTCGCAGCTTCAAAGCCGAAAAATGTTAAGACTCTCGGACTTGCTTTGTGGCCCATGTTTTGAACAGGCTTTTCGTACACCAACATTTAACGATGCATTTATCAAATTCTTTGGAGCCACTGCACTCAAGAACTTCAGCCCAGGCACCTCAAATCCGTAGGTAGAGTGCTGCACACATCACTAAGCTTTCTAGCAATCCGTACACCTTGGTGCAGGGTGCAACTCCACAATACCCTTGAAATGCCTGTGATGTTCAGAGCCGAGACTGGTAGCTGCAGTCCGGCAGCAAATTGCGGAGAGATTCAGCACTGAAAGCTGTCACATCAAGCAGATGCTTTTGGTAGCCAAAGCAACCCAGTATTTTGTTTCTTTCAGGAAAACACTCTTAAAGGCATCGCTTCCAGCAGGTCACCATAGCAGTTTTTCATGCGTTGTGAGGAATGTTTCATGCACATCCTCCAATGCTGAGTATTCTGTCCGTCCCTGTGTAGCCCTAATTTCCCTGAGGCCCCAAGCAAGAAGCTTGCCCACAGAATGAGCCAGCAAAAGCCACGGCAAGACGGTGGCAGGGGGAAAAAGCATGTACAAAACCGCAGCCAAGGAGCATTTGTTTGTGTTTGGCTCCAACTGCTGTATGGCCCCACCCTGTGCCCGCCGCCTAAGTGGCGACTCCTGGTACAAAACATGTTACTGTTGGGAACCAAGTTGGTTCCTGCGGATTGCGAGTCGGTTTTTGTTGTCTTGTTGGCCTCTGGCACCATCCCGCGGTATTGTACCTTTGATTAATAAACACCCGACCTGAGTCACAGGAGCACCAGGGAAACATCTCTTCCTTATGGATGGTGTTTTTTCTGTTTGGCAGGTTGATGTGATGCAAAGTTCACGGTTTCATCCTGCAAAAACCAATTGGAGCGAGAAATTGCGCACAGGGGGCCAATACGTGCCACTACATATTTTCGAGATAGGCACACCGAGAAGAAAAATCAACATCCTAAATACCCCAGGAGCCCACGGACTCCACAATGTTTATAAGTTTGCAATGTATGGTCGTCATTGCCGCTGCTACTCCAGCACCGTTCCCCCTTGTGTGCATACATTTACCCTAGATTCTGGACCTGTCATACAGTGATCTGTTGTTAATTTTGGTTGACCCTGTCCCCCCCTGTTCATACAATGGCCGCAAATGCGCAAAAAATGTAGATTTGCAAAGTTGAGTGCGTACCCTGTGTGCATCATGTGTGCATACATTCCAGTCTTGAGCAACCCCCTGCTTCATACATATCCTGAAGACGGTGTTTCCAGAAACACCGAGGGAACCAACATATTTATATTTTGTCACCTGTCCCCCCATCTGCATACTGCATACATTAGCAGAAATTTATGAAACCACGCGCCCCCCTTTGTGGATATGGACCGGGTGATCATGCAAGTCTGTGTGTCGTGTCAAAGCCAGTAACATCGGAAAAATATCCAAAGCCAGTAACATCGGAAAACATATGCAGCAGGAGTGAGGCTCCCACAATAAGTCCTCCCTGAAATCATCAGCCCGGGATGCCTCCTTTCCGAATGCAGACCCAGTTCATCCCAGTACACGTGGGTCTTTGTTCCTAATGCAGACTCTTGATTAATAATGATTATATATAGTAAACCCCCCACTTGAAGTGAACACCTATATTCATATGGCGGGTTTTTTAATCAAAAGTCTAGCTATTTGCTCAACGGCAGTGCCCCCAGGTACTTCAAGTACTTGCGGCTCTTTTTCGAATCCATGGACGCCTTGCCAAAGCAGAAACGCAAGCTTTGGCGCGGCTTGTCGGTGGATCTCCATAAGAACTCCCAGTGTCTCGGCAACTTCCACTGAAGAGATGAACATTAGCTTGAACTGGTGAATCATGTTGGGTTTTGTGGGATTTCGCAGGTGGACTTCGCCGAGAAAACATGTAATTCGAGTTGTCCAGAATATAATTCAAACTACACTCTCGCCACTGTATATAGACTTGAGTGAACTGTCCGTACGGTGTATCATCATACTGCCGTTGCCCCATTGGACCGCTATAGGAACGTGTTGCTCGAAAAGAAGGTACCACGGAAACCATGGAAACACCCACCCAGCTTGTCGCTCAGGTACAAGGTGGGCAACACCGTGGTTTGGTGGGGCATCTCCAGTTGCACCTCTGCCGGGGCCCCCGTCTACGGAGTGGGCGCAGATATCGCAGTGGGGAGCCCCCGCCCTTTGTGGAGAGGTGGTTCTTGATTCCAATCCCCACGGCCGGCGCGGCCTGCATAGGGAACACGTTTCGCAGGATCATGAAGTGAATCTTATAAAGATTGTTTGATGGCCCTTGATGGCAAGAATGAAATTCAAGCATCCTGTAAGAATGGATGCCGAACATGTAGAGGACAGTAGCATCACGTCATTTTGCTTTCCTGGATATGTTAGAATTTTGATGAAATTCATTGGTTTTCCTCGGCGTTTGTTGTATTTTTTGTGTTCCCTCGGATTTAGTCAACTCTTCAATTTGCCCCGGTAAACAACATTGTTCTCTATGCTTGCAGACATACAAAACTTGTATGTTTTCCGAAGTCTTCCTTGATCCCGTTTTACGGTGTAAAATTCCAAGGGTTCTCAAGAATCATGTTTGAAGTTCATTCATTGAAACAGCCCCCAAGCCAAGGTCCTGACGCGATAAGTGTAGCAACCAAGCGTTGGGTGGAATGGTTTGATCCAATGGTTTCACCAGCTTTGTGCCTTGAGTGGACCTTTGGATGGACTCGAAACCGGTGTCGATCCAGGGTCAGGGATGACGCATGTTTTGCTGGTGCAAGAGATCATTGAATGAGCTGGAATGCACCAAACCCAGGTGTTAGGTAAATCATCAGCATTCTCAGATGTTGAAGGATAATGTAGGATAACCTCTTTTGCGAAGGGAGCAGAAGCAGCACTTATGGTATAGACGGTATAGACTCTTTGTCATTTTTGCGCGGGTCCATTGCCCTTGGCTTGGGGCAACCCCAAATCCACCTGGGGCAACCCCAACTCTATGCATCATATACAACCGACTTTGTAAGACTATATCACGAAAGGTAGCTTGAGCTACCTGAGTTCTCCTTGCTTTAGCAAAAATGTATTACAATCAGCAGGGTTACTTGTGATTGCCTGCTACCTTTCGTTCACCCCCTCCTCTCTCAAGTATATTTATGACTATATTATATATGTATATCCACTCTTGCTGCAGCAGCTGCAAGGAATACAACCCCAAGTTGTCAGGTGTCTTCACGCCATCCACACTTCGTTCCAAGGATGAGAAGGTGGCGAAGGGCTTCGCTGAAGGCTGCGGGGGCAAATCCACGCTGATCACTGTGGAGTCCAAGACGGCCTCTGATATCTCCCAGGCCCAAGGGTTCTTGTGACAATTTTGTTGCTTTTTGTTCTCAGTCAGTCGGGGCACACAAGATAGTTACTGGGAGGGCTTAATTATAGAAAAAGAGGAGTGTGTTTTGACTGGTGTTTTGACTGGGAGGGCTTAACTATCTTATCAAAAGTGTTTTGACTTTATCTGGTGCTATTGCTTGAACCTCTTTTGATGACCATGTGGCGCTCCACCCTCGAAAGGTGCAAGAGACACGATCGAACAGTTGGTTGACAACATCTCATGACCTCAGTTTAGGCTCGATTCGTCTTGGGACTCCAATTTCTATAGAGACCTGGAAATAGATAAAGAAGCAACACCCAGACAGAAACAAGTCCCATTATACTTTGTTATCTTTGTGATGGGGGTTGGTAGTACAGAAGGGGTTTGATTGGAATGAGAAAGACATAAAACGACCAATTACGAAATATCTGCAGTTCTCACGAGCTTGTCCTATTTCCTTTACATTACGACAATTCCGCCCCCACTCCAGTGGCCTTGATGAATCCATCAACAGGATGTCGAAAGACACCACGTTCGGAAGAGGCAGTCAATTTGTCTTGGCCGTTGTCCGCGCCGAGATGAATCGTATCTCTTCCCAGACTTCGTATTTTACGACGTTGCTCCATGTCGGATTGGTTGGTTGTTCCTCCCTTTAATCCAGCATCTTCCAGCTGCATCTTCCAGCCAGGACTTCTTGCTGTCATGGTGATCCAACGTAGACAGTTGACCTGCGGGTTGACCATGCGGGTCGCCGTGGTCAGCATCACCATGTGTTCGGGGCGATGTGCGCGATTTGGGGGAGACGTTTGGTTGGAGTGAGATTCGCTCAAGTGCTCCAGAAAAGGTACCTCCAATTAAGTATACTCATGAGTACTCGCCTCAACCGAAGGAATGATCCTTCCCCCAAATAATATGACCTGTGTCGACCGGTCGACACAGTCCCAGCAGTCGACGCAGTCGTTCGGAGCCGCACTTGGAGGGTTCGAAGATCTACTCCTTTGATACCACTCCTTTTACTTTTGTGGAACTGAAATGAACTGAATCGTTTCCATCTCTCTTTGAATCCAAGCTCCAAGCCACATCCGCGCAGGTCATTCCATGAAAGTATCATATCAAATCAAACACTGCTTTGGGAAACGGCCTTTGACCCGCAGGTGACCTTTTACAGCAATGAGAAGGAGAGCCTCCTCTCACCAGGCCGATATCGGACCCGGACGCCGCACGCGCGACGGGTTCCACCTGGGCGTCCACGTCGCGACCGTCGCGGCCTTCGCGACCGACCCCCGGACCTTCCCACGGCGATGCGTCGCGCATACGTCGTCTGACATTCTGACATGTGGAATGATCGGGTTTGTTCCGTTTTTTTTGTTTTTTTCGGGGCACGAATGAAAGGTCCAGTGCTTCGTTGCATGATAAAGATCTTTCAAATACTGCGATCAACTTGTTTCAGGTCATCCTTCTCATCCCTAGGGATCCAGTCGTACCTTCTCAGGTTTGGTGATGTGTTCGACACTGTTATGTAGGTGCCAAGAGGGTCCAAGCACCTTCTGAGGTTCGGTACGACTGGATCCCTAGGGCATAAGAAGATGGTACAAAACCAACGATCAAAGGACCTTCCCATATTGGTTTAGACTGAAAGGCGAGGAAATCTTCACTTCAAAAGGCCATGCTCCGTTAAGTATATGCCGTTTGAGAGAGGAGTCGGAATATGTGGATCCGGGAACCACAACAAAAGCATTTGGCCCATCACCTGTCGTTGGCCCCGTGTGGGATTCGATTCAGCTGGACATATCGAGGTCAAAGACGCTGCTGTTCTTTTGTGAATCACCAGTAGACAGAAGCCATTCAACCGGGGCACCAGGATGCTTGTTGAGACATACCTTTTTTGTTGGATACTCTTGTTCTGGTGTTCAGGACGCAAAGCCTTGCGCGATTGGGGCAGTTCACAACACAGGGGGCATGATGATCCCATGGCTACTCGTATGACCCTAAGTTCATCTAAGTTCCCTGAGTATAGAAGTAAAACGTAGAACAATCCCCGTAAGCTCTTGAAAAGAAAAAACTCGCAGAGCACTCAAGTTCGATGTTTTTAGTTGAGGTAATCAAGCTGCCTAAAGTAGACATCATTTCCAAGGAAATGGAACATGGGATGATTACAAAAACTTGGATTATATATCCCCTAGTCTATCCGATTCGATTTATTTGACAATGGAAACAAACTGTGAATGAATTTAGAGGGACTTTGGTTGGTGGGCATCCAACACGCCAGGAACACAGCTGAAGGTGAAGAGCAACAAGCACCTTGGTGGAGGGGAATTGGCTGCTGTGAACCCTCCTGGCAAGTCTTCTGGAAGAACCAGCTACTGCTGCGGTTGCAGGAGGTTGTGGATTCTCACGTTGCCCATGTTTTCTCAAGGGAGGGTCAGTTTCCATGTTCCGAGCATGTAGTTTTTCCACTACGAATCAAGATCCAGGAATATCCAGGATGAAGCTCCACCATTCATAACAACGCTAGATCCTTGTTTGTCCTCCTTATTGTTCTTGTTGTTGTCGTTGTCGTTGTTGTTGGCGGTGCTTTTCCTTGTTGTTGTTGTTGTTGCTGTTGATGTTATTGTTATGAACAATCGATATTTGATCGAAGGGAAACAAGCAAAGCAAGATGAAGGTCCTGGTCCTTTGTGCTGTGTCCTTCTTGGTCATCAAAAAGCAACCATCTGTCGAAATCAGGCAAAACCCGCCATTCATGTCTAGTTGTTCGGAGGTTTTCTTTTAATGTGCCCCTCATGCTGGTGACGATGTGCGTGGACGGTGTGCCCCCAGGATGAACGGCAACGTATGTGAGATCACGCTCGAAGAAGTCGGTCGTATGCTGAATTGAGCAGAACGTCGGAGGATGGATTTGCTTGATGTTCACAGCTGAGAAGAAGCTGAAACACGGCAAAACAGACACAGTGATGCCTCTGATGTGTTGTTGCTGTTTAAGAAGTAAACACAAGGACATGTTGCAACCTGCGCCTATATGCTGTTTGATTGTTCATGATCATGGGGCGACCCCAGTTGGTTTGGCCCAAGGTGTGAACTCTACTTTCGCTCGCCTGGCACGATTCGTTGTACACGATTCGTTCTTCGGAGTAGCATCGATTTTGAGAGACACTCACTCCGACTGGCTGCGGTTGAGCTGCTGTGAGAAAGGGTTCCGGTTCCTATAATTTTGTATAACTTTCATGTGTTTTTTGGTTTGGAGACACCCCTAAGGCCCTAAGGAAGAAGTCAATGATCTACCGGGGTCGTTTGACGATGTTTAATGACCAAATATTTCAAAACCTAATAGAACGTGTGGAACATTTCCCTATTCCTCACAGCCTCACCTTATACATCATCCGACGACTGCTAGCAGCGTTGCTTTGCTCGCGTTTGGTCGCGCACTTTCGTGGCTGGCCTTTTGAAGCTGGCCACTCTGTTGGTGGATCTTGGATCAAGAAACCATTGGGCCAAGGTCAGGATCATTTTGGCCCACTTCTGACCAACGACTCACCCCTTTTGATGTACTTTTCACCTTCTCCGTTACTCCCTCTTTGACCGCACCACTCTGGCCACCGTGAATTGGTTCGATGACTAACATGGACCTTGAGAATTGATCGACCATTTTCCGAATACCAACCCAGTGGGTTTGGGGCTCCATGTTAATTTGCAGAGAGTGGCATTGTTTTGGATCAACTGAGCTTGCTCAGTGCTTCTCTCAAGTCGTTTCTTCGGGTTGGGTGAGAGTCAGTCAGAGTCGGGTTTACCGAAGGGAGTCCATGAGCCGAACATGCAGGAAGTTCAAGTTCAGGTCCAATTACAATTCCCAACAATTTGAAGTACTATAGAATACTGCTAGAGGACGACATCTTGGCATCTCGTCACACCTCCTCTTGAATGTACAATAGATTATATAGATGGCCCAACTAAGATTTTAAAACCCATCGTAACAACAAAAGCAAAGGTTTGCAAGGCACACTAACTATTGAAGTTGTTACTTCATTGTTTGTTTCATGAACGCATTCTGCCAAGCAGATAGCTAACCGTTAGCTGCAGCCAACCACTGTGTTCTTTATGCGATGCAAAAACTATATGTGTGTGTTGTGTCCACGAACTTAGTGGGGCTGAACCAATATTTGAACACTCAAAACATTTTCAGCACCATTGCACTTGTACATGTCCAATATCGTTACGTATAGTATCGTTAAAATAGTCAAACCCATGACAAACAGACACGTAGTCTTATATCTAAATCTAAATGGTTTGATTGACATGTCCCGATCTTTGGACTGGGTTCTAATTTAGCCCTAGAGTTTCTTGTTCTTCCCGCCCTGTTTCTGCGCACTTGCGTGCTGTGCAACCCTCCTACCCTGCACAGATTCTTTTCCACCCTGCATGGGTTTCTTTTCTGCCCTGCAGGGGGATTCTTTTATGCCCTGCCTTCCAGAGCTGCTTTGCCACCTTGAAGGGATTTCTTTTTTCTTTTCTACCCTGCCTCCTGCCCGTTCCGCCCCGGCTAATGGTTCTCTATTTGGAAGGGTTTCTTTTCTACTCACCCTGCCATGAGGGTGTCTTTTCTGTCTAAACCTTTGGGTGTTATTCTGCAACGCCGCGATTTACGGGGTGTCTTTTCCACCGTGCAAGGGTTTCTTTTCTGCCCTGCAAGGGTTTCCTTTCCACCCGGCTGACGGTTCCCTTTCAAAGTGTTTGTGTCTCTTTTCCTGCCTGCGAGGCTTTCTTTTCTCCCAACTCAACGCCGAGATTTGCGGGGTTTATTTTCCACCCTGCAAGGGTTTCTTTCCCACCATGTGCGGGAGCACAGGGTTGAAAAAGAACCTGTTCAGGTGGAAAAAGAGCCCTTCACAATTGGTTCTGGCCATGAAGTGATCACATCAACAAAAAGGGTCAAAAAGAACGTGTTGGACGAGGTGGAAGTAGAACACAGGACCAGGGCAGAAAACACATGGTCCCTGGGTCCCTGAGATGTGATCGAAAACACGTGTTTTGCTCAAGCGGTCGTCATCACCGCCATCGATGCCTGTCGCACAGAAATCAGTTGGATCCTCCGACAGTGTCCATGCAGCTTCGCGCCCATGGAGTCACTGTGTGTCGACCTCACGTGGGGGTGTCCTGGGCGTGTAACATGCCAAGGAAGTTGTGGACATCGATTTGGACTGAAAAGAAGGGCGGAATCGTTGGGAAGAGATATGGATGCTGACTTGAGTGGAAAGACTTCGGTGGGGCCTTCAAAGAGGTGTTCTTTGGGGGTGGTGGCGCGGCATCATCATCAATAACTCCAAGAATGCCCCCAAAATGGGTGGCCTAAGAAGCCTTTAAGCCTTTAAGACTATTGTCAGAAGCCTCCTGCAGTGCGAAACAAGATGGAGAGGCTTCCTCTTTCGGCGAGTGTAGACCTGGATAGACCCTATAACATGAGTCTTCACTCGAAAACCCCACAAAAAACATGGTTTGTATGAACCACCCTCAAGCCTCGACTCCCGACGAAGCAGGGGACTGGGTGGACGCTGGACGCTCGTGGCGTGGCCACATTGCATGGTGAGAAATGGCAGATGTTCCATCCGGATGTATGGGATCGATATATCAGGACCTCAAGATGGCGCCCCCTTAGGAACCACCAACACGGTTTCTATTTGTTTCTGCTTGTTGCTGGGGATTGTTCAGGCAAAAAACGATCCTCCCTCATACTGGGAGAGGCTCCCTTCGTGCGAACGCCGCACCCGGCAGGTGGATGCCCTGATCAAAGAAGTGGAGCGCCTCCGCACGCGCTCCGAGCTCCACAGGCGCGCGCTTTCCGCGCGCGCGCGGGGAGAGACGGCCCGAGTCAGAGGGTCCCAGAGAGATGGGCCAAGTGGGTTGCTTTGAGGAAGCTGAGGAGTGATGAAGAGAAGTGTTGAGCAAAAAGAGATTGGCCAAGTGTGTGTCCTTTCTTCTTGGGGGTGGGGGAATGAGGATGAATGATCTACTTAGAATGGGAGGTGCAAGTCTTGAGAATAGATTAAATAGAGTAGCTAGCTGAATTATAGTCCATGGAGATCCATGGACGATAGATTAGACACCCAACGGTGGAGGGCATGGTTCAACATTGTTCGTCTCTATCGAAATGCTGCAAAATGATTCATCCAAGCTCCTGGCTTTGTGGCACATGGTCGTACAGAAACTCTGTAGATGGTAGGAGCAAATCGTCGGTCACAGGCCACATAGTCGGTCGATTGAAGTTTTTGAGGCTGGTTGGATTAGGCCAGAGGGTAGCGTCAAAGTTATTAATTTCTCAATTCCCAGGAGCGATCGGACGCTACTAGGGGCGCTCCAAGCCTTAATTACTACTGGGAGCAAGAAACTACTAGGAGCAAAGGGCATCGCTACTAGGAACAAGTGCCTTACTAGTAGTAACAAGAAGCTACTAGGAACAAGTGCATCGCTACTAGTAACAAGTGCCTTACTACTAGGAACACGAAGCCATTAGGAACCCGGACTTCTCAGCTTTTTGACACTGCCTAGTCACATCTAGTCACCCATCTTCTTCTCGCACCTTGCCCTTGCCGAGGGTCGGAGCGAGGGTTGGTGGGAGCTATGGAACTCAATTAGAAGGCAGTATGCCATGCTTACGGAATCTGGGTGTGTATAATAGGAAGGCCTGGGGAGACTCTCCAAAGACGTATTGGTAGGGGCGGGCTCTCTCAGTTTTAATGAGCAGGAGTCAGCAGGAGTTCTACGTTCAAGGTTGTCTTGTTTCATTGTAGTTGTTCTCGTTTAAGTCTGGGAATTTAATTAGGGGAAGATCTAGAGGAAACCATTAACCGTTGTTCTTTGAGGTGATAGCAAGGGGCATCCTATAGATTTTTCATCCAAATTCCTCCAGGTACTTCCGGATGGTCCAGCGCTGCCCTTGTGGCTTGCTCTTTTGAATTCACAGGGTCCAGGACCATCTCGATGCTTCAAAAGCAACCTTTCGATAGTCCTTGGACCATTTTCTGACCCATTCTCAAAACGGTCGTTCGGAAGACACAAACCGCCACCAAGAAAAGAACGTCTCATGGTTAAAAACCGTCTTCCATCCCGTTCACCCGTTCTTCATTCGCTCCGGGCCTTTTTCCCAGGAAGCCGGTCAAGAGCTCCGACGATAAGGAGAGCAGCCGGTTACGACCCGACCGGGTCCGACCCGAGCACGGCGAAGCGGACGAAGTCAGTCGGACCTCATGGAGGGATTGACATGGAGAAATCCGTCACTGGACGTCCAATGATTGGAGACATCAATGGTTGACTTGGCAACATTCCGAAACAATGATCGACTCAGGTGGACAGGTGGACATGTCTTTGGCAACAGAGATGGCGTCACGGCTAGAGTGGGCAACCCTGCATTCAATCCAACAGCAACCTGTGGTTAAACCCGGGCGCTCGCCTGGGTGGAAGCGGAGTGTTCCATCAATCCCTAAGAGTTTGGCGCCCGCCAAAAGGCAGAGAACTCGGTTGAACGGAGGAGAGTCACAAAAGGAAAGGATGACGGAGGCTTGAAAAGGGGGCTTACCGAAGGACTTTGTCTTGCGAAGCAAGGCTTGAAGCAGTCTAGTTCGTCAACAAAGGGTAACTTCCCCACAGACCTTGTATCGATGAAAACGTTCTAAGCCACCCACCCTTCTGTTGATTAATCAAATCCCCACCGCCGCCACCCCACCTTGTAAGGTATTGACGCAGTGATGTTGGGGGTGGCAAACAGAGGCATTTGTTTTGTATTTCACTTCCATCTCCTGGTCATTTGCATTTCCTCCCTTTCCGCTCTCCCACTTTCTAAAACTTAAAGTTCGGAAGCAACACAACTTCAAGACAAATCTTGTTATT